TAATAATTTGTTTAATTATATTTTTCCCCACGTATACATTCGTGTGATATTACTTTCCTCTCTTATAATAATATAAAATAAAATAATTAATAATAATAATAATAATAAAGAGGAGTTATATAGAAATAACAAAATGTTCAAAGTTTTCGTTTGATTAAGAGAAAGGGAATGATGTTAGAGAAAATTTGGATATGTTGAATTATTTTATCATTTACGTATACTTTTCAAATTACAAATGAATAATAAAGATGAGACAAGTAAACGAAGAGGACAAAGTTCATGATGATGATGATGATGATGATGAAAAAAAAGAAGAAGAAGAAATAAGTTTGACGGACAGTTAAAACAAAGAGAACAAAATATAAATTCTTGGCAGTCGTTCAGATACCACTATCAATGTATATGTGTGTGTATGTGTGTCTTCTCTTTTCGTGTAATTTAGGATCCGACGTTTACTCTTTTCCGTGGAAAAAACTTGCAAAAGATTTCTCTCTCTCTCTCTATCTCTCTTTCTCTTTTCTTCTCCCTTTATCTTTATAACTTTCTTTCTTCAACGACATGGTGGTAGTAGCATGGCGGGAAAATTAAAATTTCACTTTCAAATTCAAATTGTCTTTTCTAGGTCTTTGAACATCGGGTTACAAAAAAAGGATATAACAGAAATACGATAGAAAGAGACAAAAAAAAAATAGATAACGAAAATAAAAAAGCAAAAATAAGATAAAGAAGAACAAAAAAAAAAGAATTCTTAACTGAACTGGAATATATACATCAATAATTTAAAAATTCAATTATTCCATTTAAAGAATCATTGAATTTTTAATTTGGCAATCTAAAAAAACAAAAATAATTTCGAATAAGAATAGTTATAGATTTTTGAGAAATGAATCGAAAGAAACTCTTGACTCGTCCTGTATAAAATTTATATGTGTATCTCAAAATAAAAAGAAATCGATACTACCAACACACACACTCACATTTAAACATATATATATATATATATATATATATATATATACGCAATACGAGAGAGTTCATTTCCTCCCATTTCTTTTCCTTCCAAACTTTTTCTTATACTTTTCTATCCTTATCTCACGTGGAACACATAGAGACACAAAAAAAAACAGAAAAACAAAAAGAAGAAAAAGAAGAGAGAGAGAGAGAGACAAAAATGTTCCGTATACTTCAGAAGGGAAGAAATTGGAGGGATTTGGGAGGAGGGGGTGGGGTAGAAGGGGGAGAGACGGGAAGAAGAACACAGCATCATCTCCGTGACCTAGGTCAATAATAAATCGGTTAGCAGCGTGCCAAGAAAGTAACGTGGTTCTGAATCATCGGTTTATTTTACGTTTTTCGATGCCATCTCTGAACACACAAAAGTTTTCTCTCTTTCACTCATCCAAGGATCGATTAATATTAATTTTCTTTTATTTTATTTTATTTTATTTTTAATGAAATTTAACCAATGATACCATCGAATACGATTGGATGATATTTTATGTGTGTGTGTGTGGGGGATGGGGGGATTTTTCTATTTGTCTTTTTTTCATATCCCTAGGGTGTATAAAACATTTTTGGAGACTATTGATATATTATTTAAATAAAAATGGGAATTACGTTAAATATATTTTTTGTTTTCATCCCTATACTACTATTGTTACTTCGTATCATTCGTTTATTGGAAAATTAAATTTCCATTGTTATTTGCACGGTGTATTATATTAATTTTTACATGATATATAATTTTTGGTTTAAATAAGAAAAAGGAAAAAGGGGGGAATAAAAAAGAACAAAACAAGGGAGAAGAAGAAGAAGAAGAGGGGAAGAATAAAACTGAAACACGAATAATTAATCGGTTTACAAAGAATTAATTAATTTACGAATAATAATGATAACAATAATACGGATAATTTGTAAAATGATGAAAAAAAGGAAGTACCAGGACAAAGAAAAAAAAAGAAAACGTTTTCCATTAACTTTTTCATATTCTTTGAATTTACTTGACTCTCCTCCTCCTTCTCCTCCCACCCGTTTTGTTTCGTTTATTTTTCTTCTTCCTGAAGAAAAATTAGATGGAAAAATGAAGAGTGGGTTGGAGGGGTGTGGTGTGGTGGGTGAAAGTGGGGAAGGAAGAGGAAGAGAATTTTTTCTTCTCTGCGCTAATTTTTGTTGTCGTGAAAATTTTTCCTACGTGAACCAAACAAACAAACAAACAAACAAACAAACAAGCAAGCAAGCAGCCAAACAAAGTACAAATCGTGTTGAAAATCACAGAATATTCTAGACGAACTTTCGTTATCATTTCCTTTACATCCTTCGAGATCTTTTGTACGATGGAAGAGAGAAGGGCTTTGTGTCTACTGGACAAAGGGAAGGTTTGGCCTCGAGGATGAAGAACCGAGGGTTTCTGTTTTCTATGTGTATATATATATGAACATATGCATGTAAACATACGTATACCATAGATATACATGTGTGTGTATATGTGTACGTGTATAGACCAAATCATGACAGTAAAAAAGAAAGAGACAGCAGTGTTGTACGTGTTTGTATGTGTTGGAGTAAATATTTCAAAAACTATGCACGAAAAGGAACCATTCATGAACGCCTGCCCGCCCCCCTCTCTTCCATCCACCGCCCCCCTTTTGAAATCATTTTATACCACCCCTTCTTTTTTTCTCCGGAAAACGTCCATTACTTTCGAGTACGTTCTAATTATCTTTTATATAATTTAAATAAATAATTAATTTAACGTATTTACCAGAGATTGATGATATTTTATTTTTATATTTTAATTCAATTAAAGTTTTGTCGATATTCGTCGAATTTTCTTTTTTTCTCTTTTTCTTTTTTTTTTTTTTCCTTTTTATATTCTCTAATATTATAAGTGTATATTATATAAATAAAATTATAATTATATTGATTAGGAGACAAATGTAGATATTGATTTATAATATAAGATAAATTTAATCTTTTTATATTATATAGATTTTTATTTATCTACATGTTATACGTATAATAATGTAAAAAGAAAAATGTATGTTTATAAATATATAATTATATAATTTGTGGAAAATTACAAAAAAAGAAAAAAAAAAAAAAAAAATTGTTTGGATATGCAACGACCGATAATAAATTAAAAACAATTATAATAAGATACACACTCTAATATACAAATATAACGTTCCTATAAGTTAATAAAAATAATATTAATGAGAAGAAAAAAACAAAAAGTAAAATTTGAAAAATACATTCAACAAATCAATGTAATTTTATTTTCTTACATACAAACATTAATATACTATTTAATAACGTATAAAAGAGTATAATAATATAGTGAACGTGTATATAAGAGTATATAATAAAAGAAAGTAGACGACTCACTGTTTTAAAGTAAAACTAATTTGAAATAATTCCCGATAGAATACCGATTTCAAAGTTATATACAAAAACAAATTCGATTTACAACCTTTACCATTACTACTACTATTACTATCCGTTAGATTTTCTCTATTTCTCTTTTTACATATATATATATATATATATATATTTCTTGATGGAGTTTTATTCCATAGAAGAGCATATGCTACCTACGATAAACTTCGTAACAAGTTTTACCATTCTATTCGCAAAGAGACTACACTTCTTGCTATTACCTATCTACTACTACCACTACACACACAACTCAACAGCATACGCACATATACACACGTATATATAAACTTTTATCTCTTTATTTTTTATATTTCACATAGAAAAAGGAAAAAAAAAAAAAGAGAGAGAGAAACAACAGTTAGAATGCGTTAGAACAAGGTTTTCTTTCTCCTAGGTTAATATCACGAAGTATAACAACGTGAATGTGAAAACTCACGATACGAAGGTAGAAAAGGAGGAGGATAGGGAGGGGATTGGGGGAAGGGGAAGGAAGGGAAACTGTAACAGTTACAATGACACTATACTGATACAAATAAAATAGGATTGGAAGGTTTTTCTACGACGAAAAAGAGAACGGAAAGTTACGGGTGACGTATGGAAAACGTGATAAAACAAAAATGATGTATATTTTCATTCCTTTGACGCATCAAATACGTCAACGACTACGACCACGACTACGACGACTATCTTTCGTAAGAGATAAGTCTTTTTTTTATTCTTTTTCTTTTTTTCAATTGCTCTTTGATCAAATAAAAAAAGAAAAAAAATTCGGAAGGAGAAAGCAAAACAATTAATTTTCATTGTAACACGAATTTTAGTTACCCACCCATCAACGATTGTTAAATAAATTCGTTATCGATATTTATATTTTATTATTATATCACGTTAATTTGATTTATTGTGATTTATCGTCAATTTTTGTTGTTGTTTTTTTCTTTATTTATCTTTCGTTTATGCAATAGAAAGAAAATAAAAAAAAAAAAGAAAAATTATTCATCGAAATTAATCGATTCGTTTGTTCGTTTCGTTTAGTTTAATTTTAATCGTGGTTTCGAATTGATTTTTAAAAAAAAAAAGAAAAAGCGTTATAGTCGAATTTATTTTTTGTACCAATGAAAATTATTGTACGAATCAACGAGCCGCATAAAATGATTATAATAGAAGAAATATAAATACTTTCTTTTTCTTTTCACGTTTATTTTTCGTATGAAATATTTGATTATTAAAGTAAAACGAGAAAATGATTAAAAATGATTGATTATTTTTGCGTGGCACGCGTAAACCTAATCATTTTTCAGGGTACACACCACAAACAAAGAGTGATATGGATTATTAAAGTATAATAAAACAATAGGCATCAATAAAAAGTTGTGTATTCTATAAATAAATTAATAATCCTAAGCAAAAGAAAAAAACCCACATACTCATCAAATTAATTATTGTTGATACACGTGGAGTGAGGGCACAATAATTATCGTAATCTTTTATAAAAAAAAAAAAAAAAAAGAACTATAATATAAAATGAATGAAATAATTTGTATTGATTAGAATAATAACGGGCTTACCTTGCCCTGCATGATCAGGCGAATGGTCAAGGTGACTGAAGGGTCATCATTGAGGGCAGGCTTATTATCCATATTGTCCATGGTGTGTTGTTGTTCACGGCTGCTACTCTTGTGATGAGACGTCTTCTTCTCGAAGTTTGCGGAGGGAAAGGGTACGGAAGAGGATAAGGACAGGGGAGAGGTTAGGCGTGTGATTTTGGTTGGGGGGGTCTCGGGGGATGTACTTCTCAAACGCTCCCAGGTATTCTCAGTCCTTGCACTGCACAAACATTATATCATTTTTTATTATTTTTTAATTTTTCATTAGCTTAATTATACTTTCACAATATTCATACAACACACAGAAATTTGTAATAAAAAAAAAAAAAGAGAAATAAATATTGTACGTGTGATATTATTTTTTAAATTACGAAGCACAAAACTGACTCAAATCTCATTCCTACCTCCTCTTCTTTTTAGTATATTAAATTGTTAATGTTCTCAATTGTATATACAAGTATTAAAAGTATTTTTTCTATACAATAAAGTCAACCGCGTATCTCTGAACATCCTAAAAACCGAACAAAATGTTTCTTATCGTTAGTAACAGATGCCTGCTGCTTCTGTGCAAACATATATTACGTATAGAAAATATATTATACACTTCTTCGCTATACTTATACACGAAATTTTGATCATAAAAAAGTAAAATATAAAATTTAACATAACGTTAATATATATATATATACTGGTTTGACACAATTTAAGTGAAAATAAATGGAAGTTAAATAAATATCAATCAAAAGTAATTCGTTGGTATATTTTAAAATTACACGCGTCTACATTAATTATAATAATTACGTTGAACGTAAAAATAAAGTAACCTTTTTTTCTTTTCTAATAAAAATATATAGTAACACGAAATAAATGTGTTGTGTTTTTTTGTTTCTTTTGCCATCAATTCGAAATATTTGATTTGTAGTTCTAAGTTTTACAAAATCAGGATTACAAAATCAGGATTGAAATGGAATAAAGGATCGAAAGATTCCAATCGAAATGTTTTATAAATTAAGGAAGGGTGTTGATTTTTACTTGGAAAGTAATAAGGAGCCCAGTTTGACGAGAAAAACGATATGTGTGTGTACAAGTTTGACGAGTTTCTTGAACAGTCCGTTACAGAAGTTCACAAACACGTTTTCTCGATCGTCCTTTAAAGAGTTTAGCACCGTTCATTGTACGGAAAGGTGGGTAAAGCACGAATAAAGTTCTCTCTCTCACTCTTACTATATATATCATTTTTTTTAAATTGCTGTATAATAAAATCGTAAAAATTGTCACAGTCCAAGAAGGGGGGTTGGTTTTTACAACCAATCCCAATGGTAGTGGATACATTACAGAACTCGATTTAGATTTTTTTTTTCTTTTGGGTTGCTTTGATTCATGCTCGGTAAGTAAGAGCTTTAAGAAAGAGAAAGATAAAGAGATCGAAAGAAAAAAAAATTGTCTAGATGTGTATAATGAAACAAACTGGTTGCAACAACCATACGTTTATACGAATGACGTATGCAGCAACTCGCGACAATCGTGACAATGATATGCCTGTGAAATATTCATGAAAATTATTATTTTGCAATATAATATTGTAATATATTATTTTGCTACTTTTTTTTTTCCTTCCCCACCTACTCGCCACATATTTTTTAATTAATAAATTATATATATAAATCAAAATGACAATCATCTAACTTATACGAGAGATATTATCCGTAAGCTTATTACCATCCGTTCGTGTAGGATATTTATCTACAAATGTAATACATATTAAACTAGGGAAACGTACCTATCACGTTAACAATCAAATATAATAATTTATAATAATAACGATAATACACAAAAATAATGAGTTACGATTTGGAGCGTTACGAATCTAGATATACGCGTCTAACGGGTGTTTCTATCTACTTTTCATGGTGTTTTCGTTCGTGAAACAAGATTTTGTCTTTTCATGGAAAAGTAATATTACTCTAAGTACATAAGTATATAAATAATATAATATTTATATGTAATATATAATTAATATTATTACCAACGAATAAAATCAAACGAGACGAGTATTTTATCGCGGAAGTAATATTAATTTTGCATTATTTGATATTTTATTGAATGAATAAAATCAATTTTCTTGACTCGTATGTTAAAGAAATACTGAAACTGATAATATTCTAAGAGAATTGTGATTAAAGCAACATCTAAGTCAGCTGTACGACTACTTCCACCTCCCACCTCCCCCCTTCCCCCACTCTTTTTCTTTCTCTCTCTCTATCTCACTCTAATCAGTAACACGTCCGTGTTGAGTGTGTAACCGTTTCGCTCTGTTGCTGCTGCTGGGTGCTGTCGGTTGCAATGCAATTGAACTGGAATTTAGTGCAATCTGCGTTCCGTTAGCCGAACGCGTTTAACGCGAATCGTTGAACAAGATTGCAAAGAGAAAGAAAGAAAGAAAGAAAGAAAGAGAACAATTTGTAATTTTAGAAGAGAATATAAAAATGTTAAAGGTAAAAAAAAAAGAAAAAAAAAAAAACGGGAGAGGGGGAGGAGGCCTTGCAATTCGTTCGAATGCGAGAATAATCTCGTGTGTTCGATTAAGTGGTGCTTAATAATTTATTTCCCGATAATTTTTCCTACATATTTAGATCCTGAAATGTTTGAAATTTAATGACGATAACGTTATTATTATTATTATTTTTTTTTCTTTGAATAATTTATTAAAAAAAGTAAAAATGAACGAACTAATGTGTGATCGTATATAATAATAATATCATTGAAAAGTTGTGCACAATAGAAAAAGATTGATAAAGATGAAAGAAAATTATGAAGAGATTTGAACGACGAGACAAGGAAGATTTACAAAATGATCGGAACCAATAATATACACACTTTAACCACACTATACCCACCATTATTCTAACTATACGGAGTACGTCGTCTGGCGTAATTTATCAATTTAACGCTAAAGTTTTCGCGCGTTATGCAAATCGTTTTGAAGTAACAGGCGTGAAGAACTTAAACGAGTAATTAGGAAAATCGAATCACCTGATGCGATACTTCCTCGAAGAAAACAAGATATTTTAAGATAATAAGGAAAGAAATAAAGATAATTTGTTGATTATGTGTATTTGCATTGGTTAATAATCTATGTTGAAATATTTCTATAATATTTTATATAATATCAAATTATATTATATTATTACGTACACTATATAGTAATAATAATAATGATAATAATAATATGAAAATGGAAAGTGAAAGATTGAATGATTGTTTCGAAAAATATTTGACTGATTTTAAACCGAGAGAAAAAAAGAAAACAAAAAATGATTTCTATATATGTTAATAATTTAATCATTTTATATTTTATGAAATTATAGGATTCATTTTTGATTATTTAATTCGAACTTCATATGACGATACTTATATGATCGGGTGGAGAAAAAAAAATGAGAATGTATGCGAGAACCAAACAAGTTTTCATAAATATAGAAAAATGAAAAACGTGTGAATCATGATTCTCACGATAAATTATATACCAATTTATTCGTCGTCACGTATCGTCATCATCATCTGGGACGCGATGCGTTTCCAATTTTTATTCGTTATTTTCTTGTTTTTTTTCTTTTTTCTCTCATTTTCTTTATATTTTTTAATTTACATATGTCGTATTGAATTTTTTCGGGGAGTGAAAATAAAAAAAAAGGGAAACGAATAATTTCTTGTTAAAATATTTCGAAGGAATGCGACAAACGTTTAGAGTAGTATATGCTGACTAATAATATTGAAAACGTTACTAGAAATAGAACACGGCATTCTTAGTCTAGACGATGATATTTTGTGCTAGTACGTTCTACGAAACTTCGACGTTGTTCGTTGTAAACGTTTATTGCACTTTATCATTTAATAAACATGCTTCGAGATAATCTAATTAAAAAACTTTTTTCGATAATTTAATACCAACGATTTATATAAATATCTGATTTATCGAGTAAACAATATGAGGCAAAAGAAAAAAAAAAAAGGAAATCAATTTTAATTTGGAGTCATTTAAACCAATTCTCCGATTTGTTCTTTTTTTTCTATTTCAATATTTTCATTTATATTTTTCCATACGTTTTTAAATTAATCAATGCTAGAATAATTTTTCTCCTTACACAAAGAAGTTAAAAACAAAAGACAAGTAAAAGAAAAATGAATTTTAATGATCACTATAGTTAAATGAAAATGCTTGAGGAAAGAAACGAGGAGACTTTCTTGAAATCCGAGGTCAGTATTATAGCTAATCCTAATGAATGACTTTCTAAAAGTATCTTAGCAATTGACAAGCAAATAAAAAGTATCTAACAAATTACAGATACATATATCTATATATGTATATTTATTTATTTGCATATAAGAGAGTGGGTTGAAAAATCTTGAGCCTCGACATAAAAATCTTTTATTCATCTATTTGAAATAAAAGTGAATTTGACCTAAAAAAAAAAAAAATAATCGATGCTATTTCAGGATCAAAACTTTTCAACCTTTAATCGCATATACGCACATAGAACGCATCCGCATACGCAAATATATATATGTGTGTGTGTTATTTCTATATCAAACACGTGATGAAACGTATGTTGAAGGATCATCGACATTTGCGTCAATTTTGTGTGTAAAGTTGATTCGTGATGCCGAGATCATGCTTGAAGAGAATAGACGAATGTTATTGATAGTTTTGTTACCAATCAAATCGAGATTGGAGTATTACTAAACTCGTTTCGCGTAACTTGACATATTCCAATAGAATAAATATCTACACAAGCGCAGAGCACACACCACACACACGCATAAAAGAAAATGTATTCAATTTGAATAATACTCGATGACAAGAATATATCGTCGTAATATCGATTACGTTACCACGCAATATTCGTGTAACGATGATGTTCGATAAATTTTAACACACCCACAAACACAAACACATACACACACACACAGAAGTTATAACAGAATAATGATCAATCGGGGATAATTATGGCAAGCTATTTCTTTTTTTTTTTTATAACTTCTATACATTCCTATTTTTTTCTTTTTTTTTTATAACTTAACTTTTAAACATTTGTTTTCCTTTTTTTTTGTTTGTTTGTTGGTTTTTTTTT